ACTATGATCATGTAATATACAAACAAATAACTGATGTGCACAAATAAAGCTTTATTAAATAGCAATTGGAGAAATACGAAGATAGTGCTTGGAAGGCCTATTTAAGATCATTAATCATGCGAATATCGACGGAATTTGTGATATTGTGTCACTTCACTTCAAACCATTAAAGAGCAATTAAATAGAGAAAATCAACACAACCAAAAATATGCAAAATCCAACAAAATCACATTTCAAATAGGTAATAACAGGTCAACGGCCGGGAATCTGTACTGAACATTCAAACATTAATTTTCCTTCAATCAACAGGAGCTCGTCCCCATTCATTCTCGATGAGCATAAAATCCAAACGGGCAATAATTTGAGAAATATTGGCCACTCAACATCACATAAATATCCGCAAGGTAAAAAACTCAGAACTACCTAAAAAAAAACAATATTGTCGTATGGTCCAAATCATGGTTCCTATGGTCCTTTTTACAGACGCACGGTTGTAGAGGGTCAACTACGTTTTTTACCTGGCCCGGTGGACCAGATTTAGATAGATAGTTTTCGTAATGTCTGGTCTAATAATAATTAAGGATCGATTTAATTTTTTTGGAACTTGCCATTGAATATGTCAACAGCACAATTATTTCTTGATAATAAAGCCATTTATTATATATTTTATGGATGATGAGCTAAAATATCAGCCACGCGATACAAAAATCGCCTACAGGCGGTTTGAATCGTCTGAAAAGTGGAATGTTAAAGTTAGTATTTTCTGTGGACATGTAAATTGTTTTTACATTTTCATTAATAAAAAATGTATTTCAAACAACGTGCAAATATTAACCAGATTTCTGCGGTTTTCGTCGGGAAAATTTACGGTTGAAAAATAGCCCGATATAAAACTCTCCGATCAAATTCTCGTGTCCTAAGGACTACCTGATCGCAGTTAATAATCCAAAGTTCGCGTTCTTGATCGCCGAATAATCAATGCCCTCTCGTTCTTCAGTACACAAACTAGAAAGGAAGACCGTACGTGTATCGAATGGATTTTTTTTTCTTTCAGCCAGGTCACACGCTCGAATGAATGGGGGTGGATTCGGAAAGGAAGCATAAAGAAAATGTAACTTGATGACATGCTTCAGATTGTAGTATTTTGTTGTACATAGTGCTTGAAGCATTTTTGTCACAAATTTGGACTTACAATTCAAATAATAGTCGCAAAATCAGACGAAATTGGTTTTTAGAGATTTGGGATGAATGCAAGAGGTCAGAATAGAAAATTGGTATGAGAAAACAGCGAATTCAACAGTGGAGTTGACAACATTTTAGTTTCTTAGTCTACTATGGCAACATTCGGTTTCAGCAAAAAATATAAACTTTTTAAATCTGTTAATTCATTCAAATCTAGTTTTGCTATTTAATTGATAATGCACGATCGTTATTCGATTTCTGGAATCAACTCGCTTAGATGTTTAAGTTGAATAGTTGGTTGACAACGTAGAGTTCATCATACAATCTTGCGTATAAACTAAAAGAAGTGAGTGTCACTTGTACTTTATTTTATTGTGCAAAAACACCACTCCTGCAAGTAGACTTTGCAAGTTTCTACTTTAATAGCAAATTGTCAAGTGCAAAACCAAGTAGTTCCCATGAAACTATTTTAAAGATAATTTGAACCATTTATGTGGAAATGATCTTAACCCTTTGAATTTAGCATCTATAAAACTTTAACCATGAACGATTCAAAGGGAACACATTCAGTTAGAATATGATATTTTTAATAAAGTAACTTAAATTTAAATAATGTGGTCCAATAATCTAATGCAAGCGAACATAATTTACCGTGCTTTACTAATAATAGTACATCCAATTAAAATAATGCGTCCCACAAATGCATCAGGCTTCATTTCCCCTAATAAAAGCCAGCACTTCCTCTCTCACATAATGAGCAGTTTCCCATAAACTGCATAAAATCACTAAAAAGTAGCAATTTTTCTCCATCTTCCCGACAACTATGCATCCGAAACAAAATAAAATGTTTCACAATCTCCGCATTTCCGCCGGGCGTATTTCCTGTTTGGAAAGAGGGTGCAAAATTAGTTTTTTATTTGAAACGAGATATTTTTAAGCTGGCTGAGATCTTTAAAAACTCCTCTAATGTGGTGTTTAAGTTTGGGATCGCCCCCTCACGTCTCGATATTACCGGTGAATTCTCGCTGCGTCACATCCAATCTTCAATGTTATGGGAAAATTTGGACGGCTGCAAATCAGACTTGCGGGCCTACTATCTAAAGAAATCCTCGAAACAACCAGACCATGTTAAGATTATTTTCGGCTTTAATTAATTTTTGTTCTGAATTGTGTCGAGATAACTAGTAAGCTGACGTTTTCCTTTGTGGGCATTTGTAATGTCCTCTAATGAACACCTTGTTATGCTTAATGCAGCGCTTGGTGTGTTCTAATATTTTTACTCCACGAGCTTTTCTCCCTTGTATATCTGATTAAGCATGAATCTGATTAAGCAAATTGATTAAACCCCATTTCTAACCTGCCTGATAAACATTTTTATTTCATAAATAAGTTCCTGATAACAACTTCGTCCGACTTCTCATGTAATGATCAGTATGAGTATGTTTTTGCTGTTTTAAAAAGAAGCTGTTATTGAAATTTTTGCTTTGTCATTAAAGTTTTGATTTTTTCAAAATGTTCCCTAAAAATATAAAATAAACCACTCTTTTCAAATTTAGTGCAGCGAACCTTAAATGTAGTAACAGTAACAAACATATTAATTATTTTGTCCCATCTAAACATCATACTTACTTTTACGAACGAAAATGTTTCTTTCGTTTGTTCGAATATGCTAATACTTTGATCTACATATGTTTTTCCGATCCAAGTATGTATATTTATTTTATGCCAATATACTAATATAAGTATTTGCATTGTTAATTCATAACTCTTTCCAGTTTCAAAAAATGTTGTCTAATTCTAATTTTTAAGATGGCTAAACAGTCTACCGCTAAAAAACTTGGAGCATATACATGAATTACAGCCTTATGATTGGCATGTACCTGAAGAAATGTGCTGAGCTTTCCATATTCGTTCAAAATTGAATGTACTGGGAAATCTGTTGACGGCAAAATGAATAGCAAAAAGTTGATAATAATTCTCTAGACATTCTATGTTGCTTTCACAAACGCGCTGTTCTGTTCTAAATTTTTAAAATAATTCGCAAGTTTTCCTAGACTAGTTTAAACGGTGTTTGCGTTTTCAGTTACATCCAATAAATATACTTAAAGTCGCAAAGATAACGGATTTTACAGCTTCTTTGTTTCTTGTTTTATATAGCTAAATACAAATTATTATATCTCAAAGAATATAAATTAATGCAACTTTTTTATACGAAAACTTGGCGGTCACGAAAATTCTTAAATTCATTAATATGCAGGAAAACGTACAAAAAATGCCTCTTCATACATAATCAAATACTACATAAAAAAAGCAACTAATTCTTAATTTACAGTTTATCTTAGATTGCGTTAAGGAAATAGTTATTGAAAATCAATAACATATATTTATATTCCCTAATGACCAGAAAATTTATTTTGTGACGATTTTATTATTTCTCTAACACCTTGTAAGTTATTTTACGGTTTGTTATTTAGATATGTCTCTAAATGTGCAATCAAGATTGTCTTATTTGTCATCGTATGATAAAATTTATCGGCAACGCATTGATATGTAGACGTGAATTTATAGCTTTTAATATAAACAATATAAATTGAAATTAAAAACCGGCGCTTGGTGTTGATCAAACAACCAGTTATAAACTAACTACCATAAATTAACTAGCAACATTTTCAAAACCTGGAATATTTTGGACGTGCTGTTTCGTTGGTTTGCTCATTGTTTTCTGTTGTCTGGTAAACTCGAATGAAAAAAAAACTCGAGAACTGAGGCCTGTGCGCGTTCATAGTAGGTCTGAGACCAATCTTGCACCCCCCAAAGTATACACCTGTTTTAGAACTCACCTCGAGTTGAACCTAAATTCTCTATGAACTGCGTCCCACATGCATTCTTGCATGACAAAGGTAAACTACTTTTTCGGAGATAAAATGAGCAAATATAATATAAGAAAAAAATCGCAATTTTTTATCTATTTGCGACAAGACTTGCCAAATTATAAAGGATTTATAAAAATAGCAATTTACTAGTGATAACTGGATGACATTTATCAAGCTAGTTTCATACGAAAACATTGTATTTGAGATAAAACAAAGCGCAACACTTCAAATTTCTTCAACTAGTTTCTATTCGTAAATTAATTTCTAAGTCACAAGAAGAACTTAATTTCACTTAGATATAGAAAATTCGGATATTTCTCCGGTAACAGCATAACTGTTTAATTACTATTTGTATAGTCTTCCTAGTTAAACACATCCTAAAGTTTTTTTCCCAATATATCGAAACAATTAGAAAAAAATCTGCTAGAATCAATTCTTTGTGGACTTAGTAACACATTAGTTGTTGTTTATTTTCACTTTCTTGAGTGTACTTCTCAGTAAAAGTTTAAATGTATGTTTTAGTATTGCATTTCAAGTGCTTTTGGAGCAGTATTATATCTTTACGTTTATTCATATGTGTATGTCCAATACTGGTTGTTTATCGGTATTTGCGAAAAACTTAGGGGCAAAATACAAAAACGACAAAATATGTTAAAAGTGATGGATAATGGTTCTCTTCAGTATGTCCTAAAGTATACCCCCAGTCCCTATTATATTGACGCTGAGGTTAAAGATTGCATTTTAAAATATTGCCGAGTTCGGAGAGATACCAATGAACTTTGATATACAGCATCTACTTATGAAAAGAACCTTTATTGCCGCAATCCAATAATCGTCTTGTTTGGTCAGAGATAAATGTACTCTAAACTCAAGCACTATTCATCAATTTCAGGACAATCAAATGATCAATGCCCCAATTAATAAAAAATTATCACTTACACGTACCTGAGGACACATCTTGCATTGGTATTTCCTTGGCTGGACGCCGCCGTTCTGCATACCACCCATTTTGGTAGCATTTATTGGTTGTGGCACGACCAGCAATGCAGGACTCGACCCAGGGACTCCTGGACTCGAGCTACTAGAAGTTGATCTACCTGATGTATACAATCCAGGAGTATTTGCCATATGATGGTCTTCCATACCAGCATACACTGAAAAAAATAGGTCGAATTGAAATAGATGTAATTTTAATGCGAATTGTTTCGAGTTCCTACAGTTATATCACATTTGTGTGTAAAAATAATGATAAATGCTACTGAAAAGATGGAAGATATTCCTCAAACTGCCAATACCTACTAAGTTTAATGTGGAATAAACTTTTCACGTCATTTGAAAGATGTTACATTAATATTAAAATTCAACAGTCTCTTTTTGATTTACAACAGGTTCAATATTAAAATGGAAGTCGTAAAGAGAATATGCAAAAAGTTCTACTTGAAGATATACAACCCCATAAAAAGGGGCAATAGCTACCAGAAACGGAGCACTCAAATCAGACTTGCTAATTATAGTATATGGAAAGCAACTTTCGATCTTAAGAAAATGACAATATTTAAATGCAGGTGATGACTAACAGAGGCGCAGTAACTAATGCGATTTTAAATCAAGTGAGCTAAATAATGATCAAAAGCAGACTGACTAAATAATTATAAGATAATTAACGCTTTTGAGAGATTTGCAGTTATTTTATGCAATGAAAATAAACTGGTTTTGCAGTTGTGTCTATATGATAAAAATTAATACAAAAATAAACTTATCATATAAACAATCAATTATAAACGCTTTTTGCATTGATGTTTATCCAGTGTGTACACAGCCACTTCCTCTCCACTTATTTCATTAGAACACACCATTTTAATCCCCTTTTAATTCGACTCTGATATGTATCAAGTGACTGGTTTGTATATCTTCGCCAAAACCTCAGTTACATATATTCTGAAACTTGTTCAAAATTGAATAAACATCAATACGTAGTCATCCAATAAACCATAAACGGGCATCGTTTAATAACATAAATTAACATTTTTTACAGGGATTACTATAAAACTAAGCACTAGCTGGCGCTTTTGCCGGCAGCATTCCATTAAAATGAAAAAATATGTTAATTCTTTGTTCGGCCGAAACAAAGCTTCCGGCTAAGCGGTGTTGGTTATTAGTTTTCGGACTAATTGATTGATTTACTAATGAACACAGTCGAAACTAAGCCCATATATTATATGCGAAATAGAGTTTATATGCGAAAATATCATTAAAAACATCTTGATGAAAACAAAGTAAGGGCATAGTTTTGCGGTCACCTTTAGCTAATAATTATTGAGGATAACGACTTATGGAACACATTTCCAATTATCGGCAAGGTGAGAACCAAGAAAGATGCTGTTTTAATTCCTCCTAAGTTCCTCAGATAATCACTAATTATTACTAGGATTACTATCCCCAGCTGGTACTTGCTGGTGAAAAATAATCCCGATACTCCAAGAAAACAACATAATTAAAAATAAGTGGGCAAACGCACCTGCTACATAAATCTGAATAAGATTTATACACACAATTCAACGTAACTATTTCCTCTGATTGATATCTCATTTTAAGATGTTTCAGACATAAATTTATCAGTGAATTTGCATGGTCATTAGAATCATTCAGTTTTCATGGCGTTCAATTTCTCTTTACAACTTATTCCAGTTTCAAAGTAATTATATTCACATTAAAACTATCTCAAAGCATTTGGACCTTCCTGTCGTATTTTAGTTACTTGTTCCGTATAAAATAGTAAATATTCAGTCCTTAGTATGCATGATTTATGGGACTAAACTCCAAAGGATTGTTAAGTGAAACAATAGAATACAGTTAAGTCGGTCGCACACAGTTTCGGAGGTGAGTTGTAATATCCAAATGCTTTTATTGGCGCACTAATGAATCACGTCTTGGCTAAGAGAATGAGGAACTAGTCTAAAAATTCAAAGGAGAGATGCAGGTAAGGATTCCGACAGCGGCACTACAGTTGAACTTTGGCGAAATTACAGTCTTCACCACAGGTTGCTGCACAGATGCTTACAAATTTGGACAATGAATGAAGAAATTTATTGGTCAGGCCAAAGTGTGAAAAGTCTAAATTAATTCAACTATCGTTCTTTCTTTTCAGTCAGTTGCATTTGCTAACTTTCTATGGTGATGCTATAAATTAAGTACGTAACTATTTGGATCTTGGAATTCGTACAAGATAGAGAGTTAAATGAATTGCGGTAAAGATGTAATATTTATTAAAATATTTGTAAAAACACGTTTTTATATTAACCGATATATCAGCATGAAATTTATAAATTTTGCTTTTTATTTATAACAAATTTCAAATTTATTATTTCGAAAAATTTAAGTATTTTTATCTTGCAGGGTAGTTAACGATATGATTTTATAATTTTAAAAACGAATGTTTCGAACGATTTAACTTAATTCTTGATTATCCCTTCTTAATGGAGCAGTGGAGCGGGCGGCTATTCATTTTCCCAATATTTCAAACTTTCTATAAAATTAGATATTTTTAATCCTTTTTCATGTCGTGTGCTTGAGAGGTTTTGAGTTTGTTTAAGCTATTTATTAAATAGTTTGCTGTTAAATTTAAATTATGTTTTATTGTGCTAGATAAATAACATTCTTCGGTTAACAATAGAACAATTGACCTGACCAGGCCAACAAACCACCATTTCAAATTCATTTTCGAGGACATTTTGGACCTTTGGGCCCGATTCTCTTCTAAGAAATCGAGAAACCTGTGGATGAATGTTGCTGGAAATAGAGACAGGCAAGGTCGGCGGTTCTGCAAAATTTCATTTAAATATTCCTGGAACTCAATATTCATGCGACGGCGTTCCAAATATTGGTAAAAATCCATTTTCAGGGTATTTTTCGTATTTAGGTGGCATAAGCAGTCAATCGTATCGTTTTTCTCTTTGATAGAAAATTCAATTTTCAAGTAAAACTTATTAAGTTATTTTTAGCCTTAGCTTTAGCCTTAGCCTTTGCAAAGTATGCGATTGTTCAACTACGAGTTAAAAATATTTTGAAGCTACTAAGTATTCACTGCTTCTTATACCTATGTTTGTTTTGTTTATTAACCGATTTATTCAGAATTAGTAAAACATTATTAAATGTCTGTGGTTAATTTATTAAATTTGGAACATTTAAAATTATTCCTCCAATCCAGTTGTACACTGTCATCTTCATAAAAAGTTAACATTCTACATTACATTTCTAACATTCATATACAAATTAACTGGATGAGATAATGGCATCATTTCCATCAAGTTCACATAGCGTCTGTTAAATTTGAGGCGTAATATCACACACAGTATTCTGAAGCAAAACAAACTGAATTTGTACTATAAATAAATCAATAAATGTCTTCACCATTTGCAACAAGAACTGACAACATATAAGCAAGTTTAATATTAATTTGTGCATTGGCATGAGCTAATATGTTAATGAACCGTCCTAGTGATATCACATTGGAAAGCTAAACTGTAAATAAAATTAATCGTATTTTCTTTTTTGCAATTAATCGAGTAAGAAGGAAAAACCTGGCCAATTCAAAGATTTGCTCATATGGTCGTAGTAATACCTTCCTTCCTCATATGCGAAATTAGCGGATATAATAAGCTGCTTCTATTATTTAATCAGGTAAACCTCACAACATCCGTCTTCTTGAACTTCAGCTCAAAACATTTGCATAAGATTTCCATGCAAGTGTAATTTTCTGTAGTCAATGCCGTGTGCAAATAAACACTGCAAACATACTAATATAAGTCTCTAGTGGCGTAATTGAACCTGCATGAATTCAACTCCTTTATTGACGATCAGTGTTGTAGATATACAGATCGAATTTATATGAAGACATAAAATTGAAGATTTTAATTAAGACGGGACGTTCAACGTCCGGTCGCTGTAATGATTATGTTGATGATGCAGGATGGCCCAGTTTTCTGAAAAATTTAACATTATTTATGGCGCTATTTTGCAAGAAACGCGTCATATTTTAGAGACCTGTTCTTTTACGATATGAAGTAATTGCTGATAATCGTTTTACTGCTGATATTTCCCTTCAGAAATTGGCGCTTATCGACAAGACCATGCAATAACTGACATGCGAACATTTTATTAGGTTGTCGCGCTTGGTTAGTAACTAGCTATCTTTGGGGGGTTTAATTCTTTTAACTGCAAATATATGCATGAACACTTGTACACCACCTTATTATCTTGTATCTCTGCATGACGTGCGTAACATTTTAAATTAAGGCATGAGCTTTAAAGCAATTTGCTGCTGTGGAAGAAAGGCGAGCAAAGATGTCATCCGCCCAGGTCAAAAGCAAACACAATCAATTAGTAAAACACTTAGTACTTTTGAACCGCCAAAGAACGCTGGCTGATGTTTGCTTCAGCTTAATTTACCAAATTTCCTAGATTTAAGTTGACTAAAGACGCAGTAGATTGTCGTGCTTGAAAAACTTATCTACACAATCTAAATTAAACTATTCTTTGTTCAATCAAGTTTTGAGGCAATCAAGGTGTGTGCATATGTTGACCTTGATCAGGCATTAGCCGGCGGCATTATTTTCGACTATTCAACTTGGATTATTTTATCGTTCTTTTCCTGCATCTCATTCATTTCGCTAGCAGTGAAGCCATACAGAGAAGTTCTTATGTGGGAATAAGTGGGTTATATAAGGCAATCTTCCGTTTCGCACTTGAACAAAATGTGAAAGATACCGTCTTAACATGGCAATTACTTGATTTTATAAGCTTTAAAGTTGTTGTCAAACCGTAGCGTGTTAAATAAAAATTACTGTATAGGAAGGCGTATAGTCTGACTATGAAACTGGCAGCAAAATTTGTGTACATGCTCGCTTGAAGAGTAGACAAAAAATAGCAAATAAGTGGTAAAGGAAAAGTGGGACTACATACATTTTTCGTTGATGTAAAAGTATGCTGATTTATTATTTTAAAAAAGTTCAAAGAGAATAGCTCATTTGTTTTTGTATATATTTTTAATAAACAAAACCGCATTTTGTCAAAGTTGTTAACTAGCCCAATTTGCTTTTCTTACAACCTGTAACAATGTAACAAAGCCATTTCTTGTAGAAGAATTATTGCTGAT